TCTGCTCCCCACTCTGTCTCTGGTGAAGCCTCTCACCGCCCCTGAGCCTCTGGCCTGTACCCCAGTTCTGTATGTACAAATAAATAAATCTTAAAAAGAAAAAAAATCATCCTGAATCAGTTCCAGACGTGAGAGTGATTATGACAGCCAGCTGATTCCAGACCTCAGCCCTCTTATTACCTCTAGTCTTTATTACTCAATCTTTATTCCTTTAATTGAGTTCCTTCACTGTGAAGTCAAGACAAGACATCCTGCTCAACCCTATTGAAATTGCTGGCCCAAAAACTTCATAAATTTAACAAAATACAGTAAAATAATTTTTGGTTTTGGAGCTTTACATTTTTTCATTTTTGTACACTGTTCAATTTGATTTCTTCTCTCAGGTGTAATCCACGAAATCCACCAAGACACCCATGAACCATCACCATAGTGTCTTGTGGCCTTCCCTTCCATTTTGCCCCCTCTCCCTCCCCCATGTCTGTTATGTCTGTTGTATGCCTCAAATCTATTGTCTGCCTGCAAGTTCCGTCTTTTTTGGGGGAGGGGGGGCTTTTTTCGGTTTCCCTATATACCTCTTGTAAGTGAAACCATCTGATATTTTTCTTTTTCCTTCTGACTTATCTCACTGAGTAGAAATCCTTCCAGCTCCATCCATGTTGCTGTGAATGGCACATGGCATTTTATCTTTTATTTAATGAATAGTATTCTGAATAGTATTCCATTGTGTATATACACCACATCTCCTTGATCCAGTCATCTGTTTTGAGGCATTCAGGTTGTTTCCATATCTTAGCTATATAATAAAATCATTTAAGTACATAGGTTTGAAAATTATTTTATTACATAGTAATAGCATCCAGAACACATTTTGGGGTTTCAACTGGGATCATATTCTAACAAAACCTTGATATATGGCATTGATTTTGGGAATAAGTAGCAAGTGAAAGATGGAAGGAATTTTGGAAGATTTGTGGTGAAGAATGTGGAATAATGTTAAAGGTGAGGCAAATGTAATTGTGAACTGGAAAAAAAGATGTTATGTAGTGGCATAAAATTTGTCAAAACAACCTAACTGCATAAAATAGATGAGTGCATCAGGAAACTGTGATATATATGTATAATGGAATATTATACATATATAAGAAAAAAATAAAATCTTGACAGTTGTAGAACTGCTAAGTGAAATAAATCATGATAAGAGAGACAAAAAATGTATGTTCTCACTTATATGTGGATTATAAAGAAATTAAACAAAGGATCAAATAAAGCCAAAACAAATAAAAAATCCTAGAAATTAGAATGTAGATCTGTAGATTCTTTTGGGTTCTCTGTTTATGGCTTCTGTGAAAAATGATAACTCTAATGCTTTTGAAATTTGTATTTTTTAACATCTTTTTCCTTTCTCTGACTAGGATTTCCAATACTATATTGAACATTAATAGTCACAGATTACATCCTTGTATGATGCTGTTCTCAGTGGAGATTTTTTTCAGTTTTTCACCTTTGAATATATTAGCTGTATGTTTGTCATAAATAAATTTCACTTTATTGAAGTATGCTCCTTCTTTCCCTAGCAGAGTAAGGAAGAGAAGAAATTAGATTTTATACTTAAATTAGCCTGGTATCTAATTCTTAAGTTCATGAAAGAATTTAACCTTTATACAAATTATAAAACCAATTCTATTTGTATATTGCCTTAATTTTATAAGCATCTATTTTAATGATATTTAAGTTTGATTTTTTAAATAAGATATTTAAAACTTTATTTTTAAGGAAGTGGACAAACTCTTACTTTATGCTCATATATCAAATTTATTTCAAACCATGTAAAATTTATTTTCAAATATTCAATTGAATGTATATTTTAAGTTAATTTTATATGTTGTTGATTCAAGTAAGTGAAATGTGAAAATAAGAAAATGGAATGAAAACTGTGTACTTCAGAGTTTAAATTGCATTAATGAATAATATGATTAAATAAATAAGTCACAGTATTGGGCCCTCCCTGGTGGTGCAGCAGGTTAAAGTGCAGCACTAAGAAACTAAAGCCACTTCAGCACAAGTTCGATCCCCACCCAGGAGGTGACCCACATGGAGCAGCAGACCTCTCCTGACCCCTGCAGCTCCCACAGCATTGTACTTCGTCAGTCGGCCTGTTCTGCTCCCCACTCTGTCTCTGGTGAATCCACTCATCGCCCCTGCACCTCTGGCCTGTACCCTAGTTCTGCATGCATAAATAAATAAAATCTAAAAAAAAAAAAAAATCACAGGATTGGCCCTCCCATGTACCCATGGAGTGCAGCAGGCTAAAACTCAGCACTGCAAGCCAGCCACAGTCCCTTCAGCGCGAGTTGGGTCCCTGCCCAGGAGGTGATCCACATGGCACTGGACTTCTCCTGGCCTGCCTGCTGCTCCCCTCAGCAGTGTACTTCATTAGTCTGCCTGTTCTGCTCCGTGTTCCATCTCTGGTGAGTCCTCTCACTGTCCCTGCACCTCTGGCCTGCACCCAGTTCTGTAAGTATAAATAAATTTTTTTAAAAAAAAATACACATTTAAAAAGAAGTGACAGTATTTTTAGGGTGGAAAAAATACTGTGAATAGATATATGAAGTCAATGGTATTAGAATAAAAATAGACACATCCCAGTGGAATAGAACTGGACACCCAGATATAAGCTCATTGCAAGAACCATAGATAATTTCACCAACTTTGCTTTCTCTGGCTTCTCATGTGGCACCATCACTGATTCTCCTTCCTGGGGTGGCAGAACTTTTGAATCCGAAATACCAACACTTTCAATGCTTCTTTAACATCCTTGTTGCGGAGCGTATAGATGAGTGGATTGAGAAGTGGGGTGATAACTGAGTAGAAGATGGACACAATCTTATTGCTACTTGACTCATACTTCACAGCTGGGCGGACATACATAAATATGAGTGTGCCAAAATAGATGGTGATCACAGAAAGGTGGGCTGTGCATGTGGAAAAGGCCTTGCGCCGGGCAGCAGCAGAAGCCATGCCTAGAATTGTGACCAGAATTTTAGCATAAGAAGCCATGGTAAAGACCAGGGCACCTAGGATAATGACAGTACTAAATGTATAGCCCACCACTTGGATGGTATATGTGTCTGTGCAGGAAAGGCGGAAAATCTGATCAGCATCACAAAAGAAGTGGTTGATCTGGTTTGGGGTACAGAAGGATATTTGTGCAAGTAGAAATGAGGGGAACATAGGGCAGAGGAATCCTACAGACCAACAGACTCCAGCCAGAGTTCCACACGTTTGGGGACTGAGCAGCAGTGGGTAGTGGAGAGGTCGGCAGATGGCAGCGTAACGGTCAAAGGCCATTGTGGTGAGAATGAAAAGCTCAGTGGCAGCCAGAGAGAAGAAGAAGTAGTACTGGGTGATGCAGCTGGGAACTGAGATGATGCCTTTGGAAGTGAGAAAGTTGGCCAACATCTTGGGCACAGTGACCGTGGTGTACCAGAATTCTACTAAGGAGAGATTGCAGATGAAGAAGTACATGGGAGTGTGAAGGCGGCTATCCAAGGCCACAATGAGCAAAATTAGCACGTTGCCCGCCAGGGACAAGAGGTATACAAGGAGGAAGAAGGAAAAGTAGAGTAGTTGGAGACTTGGGGAGTTGGAAAATCTCAGGAAGACAAATTCAGTGACCAAAGTGCGATTGGCTTTTTCCATTCAGCCTGGTAAGTCAACTGGACCAGGAGAAAAGTGGGTGTGTGAAGATGCTAAAATATCCTTAGACATGTGGTTTTGTCTCCAGTTCTCACCCACCTTTGGTACGTGCACACAGTCCCATTATTCCTCTTCATTCACTTCTTGGCTGCCTTTTGATTTTTCCAAAGCAGAGAATATTTTGCCTATTGATAAGGATACAAGACTGCCTTTCTCCTCTCATTGAAGAAGGTCATTAAGTACCACATTCCACAGTATGGAAATTTCAAAATATATAAAATTGTTTTTATATTGATTCAAGGATTTAGCATCGAATGCTTCTACTATAGCTGGAGTGGATATGTAACATATTCATACCTGTACCCAGTTATATATCAAACTGTTTTTATTGATAACAATTTTTAAACCATATTTTAATGTTGTTAAGTTATTATCTCTAAGGATTATTTCGTGTGTACCCTTGAGGCTCTAACCTAAGATTCCTTAGGCTTATATATGGAATCTTACTGCTTTGTCTGTTCTAAACAGAGAACCTAGCCTCTGACTATGCTTCATATCATCAGATATCTGAAGGTAGAAGGGTTCTTGTATCTCCTTCTGTATATCCACAAAAAAGGGTAAAGATATTTTATGTGGATTCTGGATTCTGAGTAGTAGAGAGCTTGCACAATTGATAGTAAGGTTAGAAATATATTTTAAAGTAAAAAATGACTTCAGTCTTGAACTTCCAAGTCAAATTTTGAGATTTGATTAGATTCCTCAAAAGAACAACTTTGATAGGTATTGAAACCCAAAGTGATTTTTTAAAAAATCTCCGAAGATACTGAGGCTTTCTGAGTTAAAGTTAACTTTGGGGCGAATGAAGATAATAGTGCTGATATTATCAAAACAAGAATCTGAAATAGATTTCCAATTCTTGAAGATTTCTTCTTTTGAAGTATCTCTAAAGAAGAACATATTAAGAATATTTATCATTAGTAATTCAGTTAATATAGCATGTTGAAATAATTGAGAAATTGTTTAGATACTATGTAAAATTAAAAATATGCAAAATCGAATATTTAATATGATGTACTGTATACCTCCAAAATATCAGATTGCCAATGATTTTTTTAAATTTAATGTCTCCCAATTTTTATAATAAACATTTTAATTTAAGCAATTCTTTTATTTTGCTATTAAAATATTTGTTTTATTTACTTGGAATATATTGTTAGTTGGGAATTAACACATTAACTTCTCAAATCTATAATTTGAGAAGTATCAAAAACAAAACAAGAATCATCTGAGTTTTTCATTAAGGGATAAATCCTATTTATAGTAGAGTGTTTACTTAAAGGCCCTCTTAATTGTGTGCCTGTATTTATACACATACTTGTATACACATGTGCACACATATACAAAAGTGAACCATTGAAACTACTAAAAGAAATATTATATTTGTTGATCTTTAATTTTATTTTTTCCATGGGTCAAAGGAGCATTAAGGGTGGTGGTGGGGAAAACTGATAGCTTCTACCACCAACTAGAAAACCCTAATATGTGTCACACATTTCATACTTATTTTCAAATAAGAAAATGCAATAAATGTGGAATTTTTAAAAAATTGCATTCTCCTTCCCTCAGGGTCCAAGTTTCCCTACTATCTCTTTTGTTCATGATGGTTAAACACTTCCAGTTTCCCTTGCTGGGAATATGAATTCATGGGCCTCCTTAGTGGCCAAATGTTAAGTCTTAGGCTGTTATTGCTATGGCCTGAGTTCATCCTGGGCCAGGGAGCTGACCCGCATGGCGCAGCAGACCTCTCCTGTCCTGCCCACTGCTCCTCTCAGCAGTGTATTTCAGTAGATTTGCCTGTCTTGTGCTCCCCACTTTGTCTCTGGAGAATCCTCTCACCCCTTGTACCTCTGGCTTATACCCCAATTCTTCTATGCATAGATAATTAAAAATAAATTTTGTAATGAATTCATGATCAATTATCTTTCTGTCTCTCCTTTTTACATCCCCCATCATTCTTTTGAAAAAAATCCGCTGTTATATTCCAATTACCTCCTTCATTTTTGTTCTTATTACTACAGTTTTACAAAAATCCTGGTCCTGGAGATAGAGCACAGTGGCTATGGGGAGACTGGGTGCTTTAGTGTGGGTGCACTGTGGTCACTACACGTGAAGGGAGAGATCCTGTATTTCTAAAATACTAACAGAATTGTAAGACAATGGTATTTTAATAAAAAATAATAATTTAAATCCTTTTCATCATTCACCTTGACTAATCCAACAGCTTCCTTAAAGTAATCAGTCACATTTATACTCAGTTATCAGTTTTCCTATTTTTTCACCAGTGTCACTCTTAGTTATGCCTAAAATCTTTATTCATTTCATATTATTGAAGAATAATCGCTGTAATTATTGAGATTTCTGGAACCACAGATTAGCTATGTTCCAAATAAATTTAATATAATCCACAAATACTATATTAGTAAAAAATCTGTAAAAAAAAAAATCTGCAAAGTGTGTATGATTATCTACTGCATACACATAAAAATTGACTCAACGTATTTAGTAAGAGATGAAAGCATGGGCCCTCCCTGGTGGCACAATGGGTTAAAGTGCAGCACTGTGAAGCTAGCTGCAGCTACTTCAGTGCGAGTTCAATCCCTGGTCCTGGAGATGTCTCACATGGTGCAGCAGAATTCTCCTGTCTCACCCACTGCTCCCCTCAATGGTGTACTTTGTCGATCTGCCTGTTCTGCTCCCCACTCTGACTGTGGTGAATCCTCTCATACTCCCACACCTCTGACTTAAACCCCAGTTCTGTATGCATAAATAAATAAATAAATCTTAAAAAAAAAAATGGAAACATGACTCAAATCCATGCTTTGTTGTCTTGAGTTCACAAATACTTCTATAAATGGTTGCCCAGATGACCAGGTCCAAACTCCTGAGTAGAGCATGAAAGATCCTTCACAATCTGTACCTCATCTACCTTTCAGTCTCATGAGTCACCTCCAACATCAAACTTTTGTAATGTGACTGTACAAAGTTCTTCACAGTTTTCATTTCATACTTCTATACCTTTGCAAACATTCTACTCACCTAAAAATTCACTTTTATCGATCAAAACTCATGTTGAATTTGACCTCTTCTATGAAAACATTCACCCTTGTTCATCAGATAGATCCTTATCTTTGGTACTTTCTAAGGGCAATTTAACTTGTTCAAGTGACCTAGCAAAATGCTCATGATATATATGTTTATGTCTATTTTCGAGCTTCTTGAAATCAGAAGCTCTGTTTTTCATGTTTGTATTCTCAAAGTCTAGGATACTGCCTGGGAAACATACCAGTAAAAACTGAATATTGACTGGGGAAATTAATTAAATTTCTTTCTAATTGTTATCCTCTTTTTATCTTCCCCAAGGTGTCCTGTGTTTCCTATCAGATGGATTTTCCTATATACACCTTTCAGAAATCCTTTTCTTAAAACATAATGAACATCATATAACATACAATATCAAGTTCTAATTCATTTGGTTAGCATTCTTTTCCAGATGCAAAATCTCCTCCTACATCATCTGTCTATAAAAGTATATTTTTAAGTCTATCAGTAGGCCTACTGATTTTTCAGAGAAAATCCGAATTTTTTTCTGAGAGACAGCTCTTTCCCAGAAGGGATTGCTGCAAAATTGTATAGGAGACCTAGTGGGGGAATGACCTCTCCACTTCTCCAGTTCCCAGTTTATTTAAAGGAAGAAAGTTTTTTCAAATGAGTTACCCCCATCTAAGAACTTCCTATGGAATAAGGAGTATGTTTTCAATTTGTCTTCCTCCTTGATACCAAAAAAAAAAAAAAGGATACTATTAAGAGAATGTGACCACAGGTTGACCAGTTAGCTGGACCAGACATTTAGAGGCTCCTCACCCCTTCTCTTGACATGTAGATTTTGTTTGCTTTCCCTGCTCCCAAATGTCTCCCCAAGTATATAGTCTTTTTTTTTTTTTTGAGCTGTCTATTGGAAATGTTTTTTTAATATAATCATTACACCATCCTTCAAACTACTAAAAATGGAGCTTCCATATGATCCAGCAATTCCACTCCTAGGAATCTACCCAACAGACACAAAAACATTAATTCAAAAGAACACCTGCACTCCTATGTTTACTGCAGCACAATTTCTGGTAATAGCATGGTATGCCAGCATACATTTGTAGATGTGTGACTCTATTCCCCTAAAATATACAGTGTTGTGAACCACTGTTACCTCAGTAAACAATATTTAGAAAAATAAATAAATAAGCACTGATGTGAAATTTGATTCAAACTAAAAAACAAACTGTTCCAGGCATATGAGATTACTTTCTATAAAAAATAAAAGAAACTAAAACTAGCAGGCTTTTTGTGAAAAATTATACTTCAGCAGAAGTAAAGTAAAAGTAAAAATCTTAATAATGACAATTTTTTTTAAAACTTACTATGATTGGTGACTCCACGGGACTTCCGGAAGATGGCGGCAGAGTAAAGATGCCGAGATCACCGCCTCCAAGCCGGCATAGGAATTGAGGACTGAAAACGGACTATAGACTCACTTACTACAAGTTTTAACCCAAA